CCTAAAACTAGAACATCCCACATCCTTAACTATTTGCGAACAGTAATCTAATCTAGATCTACCTCTACTCCTCCTAACTGATGTTTCTGCCTCTAATATGTCTAGACCTTCATGCCTGAGAAGGTGTGCTACCAAACTATCTCGCCTATTTCTTATTGACTTCCGCAGAGTCCTCTGTTTTCCTATTCTTTCTAATAGCTCTTCATTTCTAACCTTCTCTATCCACGGTATCCTCATTCGTCTGTAACGCGACATTTCGAATGCTTCTAACATTCAAATGGTTTCATAAAAATTGTGTTACCTTTAGACTGTTATTCTATTATGTGCAGATTTTACTTAACTTTTCGCCGTATCGATTTTTCAGTACATTTTAAAGATGGACCGGATACTAGAGTTGATCAATTGATCAAAATATAGTGACACCACCTATGTATGTCTTCATTAAAACCATTATTTCAAAATTACCAGGTATAAAAATGGTCAAAGGTCTTTATTAGAAGATATTGTGTTCGATTTTAAAGTTATTCGGCGGACGTGCGATAATATTGAAACTGAAGAGCATTTCTAATGTAATTCGAGAACAGCAGTACGTTGTAAATAATCTAATAAAAGAAATACTCCTATCACTAGGAATAATTAATTTAAAAATGCATTTGATAAGTTTTGTAGCAGCTTGCCAGGGTCAGTAAGTTGTTAATGTGCTGTTAAATATAGACGGAAAAATACCTGAACTCGTATACGTATTTTAGGTTCTTTATCATTATGTGCTATTCAGACGACATGCTATGTCAATATATCGCCTACCTTAGGTTCGTGATGAATGATGAGGAAATCGAAACTGTTTATTCCTTAAAAATAATGAACGTCATCGTGACAGAGTACAAAAATAAAGTCCAGATTAGCTTGTAATCTCTCTAATAAACGTGTGTTCAATCAGTTTAAAAAACAGCAACTTATCAGTGTCCAACATTTGTAACTATAGCAGGGACGTGGCCAGCTTTTTTTAGTATGGACCAAGGCTCCTTCATTCATTAGATTTTAAATTCCATATAATGTAATAAACCCAAGACGCCTTCAGTTTCCTGATAATATTATTATACTTCGTCAGCATGTCAGACCTCACCTTAACATCCCTAGCGCGTATGTTATATTTCACCAATCGTTGGACAGATAGTGAAATTTTCTTGGATAAGTAATGTCTCAAAAGCAACTCTCATCGTCAATAAATAATACGAAATCCTGTTTCAGCATAAGTTGTAGAACTGCTACCAGAATAATGTACAGTCCGGTCCTGTACCGTACCGATATCACAGAATTGTTTTTTGGCAACCGGTACAGGAATAGAACGCGACGTGGAATTCAATAATAAATAGCGTCGTCGCCGTCGCGTCGGTTCGAACCACAGTCGTCTATTAAAAAGCAATGAAAATTCAGCGGATTTTTTTGTAATGGAACATTTCTTCCTTATCCAATTAATTAACTTTACATTTCCTCATTTTACGAGATGTTGTTTACAATGGTATGATGCAGTGTGTATGTCTATTAGTTCTTAGTTGTAGGAGAGAAACTGATGGAATAGAATTGAAGAAATCGGAGGCGGGAGAAGTTGTGGTTTTGTAATTTGTATTGAATTAAAGGCGAGCGCCTGACCTTAGCCACGTAGAAAGTTAAATAAGCTGGCGCCTCACTATTATTAAAACACATTGCCCAAACTGGTAAACACGATTCGCTCTAGCCTAGCACAAGTACCTACTTTCTATAAAATAACCTGCTCTCTACTCTGCTTGCTACACGGTGCATGCTTGTCCATACTGATAGCGAAAGAGAACCACTTCCTTATCAGAATGGATAAGTCGTTTTGGCTATAGACAATCACGGATTCTTTTGTTGGGAATTATTACATTTATTCTTCCATGAAAATGTAGCGTGGATGTCCCCTCATCTAGGAACGCGTACTTAGTATGCAGCCCTTGCAAAACAATTTGTTGATCAACCGAACTATTTAAATGGACAACATGGTCCATGGTCCGCTCTTGGTGAAGTGGTATAGAATAAATGAAGTTGTAGGCACCCGACAAGCAGATATTCTTCGCTTGGTAGATGATAACACTAACGTTTCGCCTAAAATTTATGCTATATCAGAGTTACTATCTGGTTAGTTAGAGTTAGATTGATAGTAGTGGAAAATTTGTACAAAGTCCATCTTGTATTATTGAATTAATTTTTAAATTGATTTTATCCATTACAGATAACCTCAAGTTAATGAGGTTGTAGCTAAATGGCAGAGTACTGTTGCGTAAAACCAGGAGCCCGGGTTCGATTCCCGGCAAGGGATTTACAGGAGCAATAATTTTTATCATCAATTTGCTGTTATCTGTATTGGGTGAAATCAATTCAAAAATTAATCCACTAATACATTGAATTAACACTGTAAAAATCTCAAACGTAGCAATACTATTCTACACAATAATAGAAATTTGTGAATATAATAAGTAATTATAGTCATCTGGCACATTACGACGTTCAAACAAACTAAATTAGTTAGGTAGGTAGGTACGTAGTTGGTGAAAGCATAGATCACAATTCTGCGATATATAGCTGTAATTTTCGTCATCTCAACATCATTCAGTAAACCGGTGTTATTTTTAACATCTTTTTGGTACACGACCTGCATTTCGAAAAGAAAAAATAATTTCAATTTCCTCATCTGTCAACGCGTTTTTTCGTGGGCGGATGCAATGACAAAACGTGTCGTCTATATTTACTTTATATTTACCGAACTTGCGTAAGATATCTTTATAGAAGCACTATTTACACGTGTGTATGTACAATTCACGTACAAAGTACATACCTTCATGATTTGCTTGAGCATATAATAGGGACTGCTAGTGTATAAGTGCTGAAAGCTACTGAACTGCCAAAAAATTAGATATTCATGAATTTTCACGACCTAATGACTAAAATTTCTAATAGATTAATGAATTATCTGGGCCTCTGGTCAAGCACGTTGTGGTATGTTGATTATTGAACTGGACCGCACGAGGCAGTTCTGTGCGCTGCTTCGAAAACCCACCCCAACTAGTTGGTATGTTCTTATTTCTCGATCGATCATTTCCATCGAACAACTATTTTATTTTATTTAATTCTACTAAAAGATGGTAATTGACGGCATACAACCAACCCCCCCATGAATGGGTAGATAAAAATATAAGTTTTACTATTGAAAATACTACTGTGGTTGTGCAAAGTAGATTTGTCCATCTCATGAAAAATAAAATTGAGCACGTTAGCGATTCCCAATTTTTGTTTTACTACGGAACCCTTTTTGACCCACCCTTTTTTGGCGGAACCCCATCACGACAAAAATGAGGGGATAATAATTTTTGTGTTTAAGACCCTTTTAACAACCTTCTCAACAACTGCATGGTGTTCATCTTTAAGTTCCATCCAAAGGTTATTCAAATTTTAATCAATTGATTCGGATTTTTGTTTTAGAGAGGTTTTTTAATATCGATCAATTTCTCATACTCCGATACAGTTGAACATTGTACTCTGTGCTCGGTAGCTGTCCCGTATCTTCTCTGGTTCAATAGTTGTTCATTTATTGGTTTATCGAATACCTATACCTATCGACCAAATAAGTCAATCTTATTATCCATTTCTCATCATGCAATAGTTCGATATGACTAAAGGTTGTAACAACTGCTTGTCCAACTTTTCTTCTCGCAAGTCATCTCAGTTCCGTGTGTAGAAGGAGAAGATGATACTGACTTCTGATATCATCTCGCGGAACCCCTGCGACCCTTATACATAACATTTGGGCACCGCTGCTCTAGGTCACAAGTAAATGTAAATAAGTATATAAAGGATAAATATTCGATGATTCAAGACTCTCGAAAGTAGGGATTTCGTATGAAATACCGTTCTTTTTTGTCAACTGATAGAATTCCGACAACTTTGTCTGGTATTTCGGTATTTTCAATAAGTACGCGTACGTCCATAAATCCTTAAGATGTGAGGTCTTCCAACAATTGATCTACTTGAATACTCTACACCAGTGGTTTCCAAACTGTGGGACGCGCGAGACTGTTACAAGGGAGGCATGCAGCTGTTTCCAAATTATCATTTGGAATACAAAAAAATGGGTATACGTAATCCACAATCCTCGCCGCGAATTTTTCGGGTATAAATGCTAAAAAACATGACTCATGCGGCGTTACCTCGCTCTGAGGCGTTCCATTTAAGGCAAGCGAGAGCGCGGAACGAGCGACAAAGAGGCACAATCGGCCTCCGCGTTCGGCAGCGTTCGACATCTGTCTCTCTCCTACTTGAGTGAGCGATGCGTCCGCGTGCACAGCTGCTATACAATAATCATTTCCATTTACCTCCTCTATATCCATACAAAATTAAATTAAAATTTTTTTTTGAAAAATGAAACCATTCCATCAGTATTTTCTTATGACGTTGTCACGTTCAACTATCGTCAGTAAACCGACTTTACAGACAACCGATTTTTTTACATAATATATATTATTTTGTAGCCCATTAAATAAATTATATCAGTTGAGTATTTATGAAATTAGAAAATTAAGGGAACGTAACAATTTTTTTTTGTAAAAGGGTGCGCAGATACACAAAGGTTGGAAACCACTGCTCTACACTGTACCTGCTTTCCATACTGCCTAGGCGTTTAGTCAATCATTTTTGCACTGATGGCTTCATTGCCCATGCTTATTAGAAAATGCCATACTTTGCAGATAGTCTGCAACAGACATATAAATACATTGTATGCATAAGATGTTCAAGGATTCGAGAACGTCATGTATGAATTTATGAATCCATTTTGCGGACGCGATACCTCCATAACTAAATGAATTTATGTATATTTGTCACGCTGTGCACTCATACTTTTATTTGAACCTGTGTCGACGTTTCTGTGTATGCGACCATTTATTTATTTTTTTCTTCTGGTCATCTAACTGGTTTTGTTTTATTTCCAGACAGAGCACCTAGTGAGGCACTTCTAGTCTGCAGAGACACGTTCTCAGGGTCAGTCACCACGAACGGCGAAGGTATGTGATCTCGAACCTCTTTATTTTCATGTACAGGGTGTCGTTAAACTTTGTCGTGCAGTATATCAAATTTAAAAGCGTCATCATCACATGGGTATACCATGGTTTGGAACACGGTGTGCTGTAGATGCGGTTTTTATCGATTCATTTCGAAATTGACCTTTATATCCCCTGGACAAAAATTTTCAGTCTCTCAGAGTCTTTCACAGTCTCTCAGTTATTGCCTAGGTGTCTCAAATTTGAATCAATTGTATGAGAGACTAGAACGATAAAATTGTTAATTCAGAAGTTCGAGTCTCTCACAGAGAGACTCAATGAATAAAACTGAAAAATTGAGAGACTCGAGTCTCTCGTAGAAAAACTGGGATCTCTGAAATATGTTGAACTTTTAATTTTAACCATGTCTCTCGAGTCTTCCGTTCAGAGACGCTAAACAGTTTTTTTGACAGTCTCTCTCAGCGACACCAGAGAGACTCGATGAGAGACGGAGACTCGAGTCTCGCTTTCAGACACTCTGAGAGACTGAACATTTTTATCTCGGGTCACTTTCGGTTTTGAAATAAGGTGAATAAAGAGAGAACATTGTCACTTTTCGTCTGTTCAACAACCTTGCTCCTAGAATTTGAACGGATTCAATTCAGAATCAAATATAAGGAAGTTCTATTGCATAGAATGGTCAATGAACGGCTTCATCTTTTGAAAAACATGAAGCAATTTAGGAAAATTCGTACAATTTATAGGATTTGAAGAGTGTTACGTATTGTTCAAAAGATTTTGGGTTCGTCTAATTTAGGACAGTTTTGAGAGAATCTGGAGATATTCTTTCAGATAGATGTTGTCGACAAGGTATATTCCACACCTTCACAAACTTATGCATTTTCAGTGTGTGTTCTGTGAACGTTTTCCCTTCCCTATATATCAACTATGATTGCAACTTATCTTGTTTATAAGCATGTTGCCATGGACCGTACTAAAATTTTGCAATAATTTTTTGGATGTTGCCGAGTCCGAACTTTGATATACCGCTCGTTGTTTGGCAATAGGCGACGAACTGTTTGGCAGAAAGCTTAATCACGTCCCAAATGATGAACCTAGAGGAAAATTAATTTTTAAAGGTGCACTATAACCCCTAGGGAAATTTAATAACGAACTTAATGATGCAAGAGTATTTAACTAATTTTATTCTAGGCGAATATCTTGTAGTAGTTACGTACAATAACAGAACAAGAAATATTACGGGGTATTTTAATTTCATTTTTAATTCGGGTTTGTTTTTGAATTGAAACTTTCTGGAATTTTAAGTATTAATATTGACTACCTAATATCCAAGTACCTATATACTTGTTTTTGTTATGAAATCCTATGACATTGTTAGTTACTTAATAGTGGATTAATATGCAATATTAATTTGAAATCATTTTTTCGATTTTGTTTTACCCATTACAAACTACCTCAAATTAATGAGGGAAAAATGAGGGGTTCGATTCCCAGCGGGGGTGTAACAGCAGCAACAATTTTTCCCTCATTAATTTGAAGTAGTTTGTAGTGGGTTAAAAAACAAAAATCGAAAAAATTATTTCAAATTAATTTTGCTTGTTTTTGTTGTTTAGGTTGTTTTTTTTTGTATTTTGCAATGTCTGCATTTTGTAACTGACGTTATTTTCTAGAACATCAAAGAAAAGCGTTGTTGTCGGCGTTTTAATAAGTAACAGAAGTCACTTATCAGCGAAAACTGTGTTAAAATCCGGCATTACTGTTCATTATCGCACGCAGTTCGTGGAAAAACTTGGGTACACCTACATTAATAAATGTAAAAATTGTTTGAGGTAAATTAGATGTAAAAAGCCGTTTCCTGTAGTAATAAGGCTAATAAATTTCGGTTCACTATTTATGTCCCTTGTGTTTAAATTGTGACACAAAACATATGACTGTTGGAAATATTGTTTTGTAGATTTGTCAATTTTCCTAGCTATTGTATTATATGCGGGCGATTGGAGGGTCAAATTGAAAATTTTGGTCAAATTTAGATGTATGTCGCAACTACAGATGAACAAAATGGTTTTAATTTTAAAATACATTATGAAAAAGTAGGGTTGTAAATAATTTTATTAATGGAAAGTCATTGTCATTATTTAAAGGTACAAATATCAAAAAAATATATGCAAATCAATTTTGGTTTTGATCTTTTTCACATTGAAAGGATGAAAATCCAATCCATAGTTTTGCCAGATTTAGGCTAATCAAAGAAGTAATATTTTTAATACTTTTTGATTATATCCATTAGCATATCAGTATATGCCTGTACTTTTCGGAGTAGAGAGAACAAAAAATTTCAGATCCTATGGAAATAATTAATCCCAAATATTGTGGATTCGATTGAGCTTTCGGGGATGTTTTTCCGTTTCTTTGGACTTTGGAACTGCGAAATTCATGGCAAAACAGAGAGGAAACCAATATTGAATCCTCAATATTTTTGATTATCTATGTTTTGCTCTCTCTTCAATTCAAATATTAGAAGGGCTAATCAACAATGTGAGCTGCTTTCGTTCTTAGATATTGAAAAGTGGAATAAATGAATTAATAAGTTATAAACTACAAGTGTTAAATCAAACAAGAACTACGTTATAGTTTATTGTATTAACAGAAGCTACAAGTAATCAACTTTGTCTTGAGATAATGATGATAATTCTTCACTTGTTTCAAACAAGAAAAGCTCCTTTCTCTAGACCTCTAGAGAACCGTGTGTAAATTCGGATAAAAGTAACACAAACATTGGTTCCTCAAAAATATAGAAAAGTTAAATAGTGATAATAATGCTGATTCTAGTTCCTCTACAGTTGTGACAGTTAAAATGTAAAGGTCCATTCCTGAACCAAATTGACCTCTAAATTCTTCAGGATAGTGTTGCGTGAGACACTGAGCTTTTTCTGTGACCCTAAGGTCTGTTGCCCTTAAACCGTAATCCTGTTGGTAAATTACGCGCTGGATTAACTATACCCTAAACAAAAATTTTCAGTCTCTCAGAGTCTTTCAGCGTCTTTCACAGTCTCTCAGTTATTGCCTAGGTGTTTTTATGGATCTCTCACAGTCTCAGTATGAGAGACGAACGATAAAATTGTTAATTCAGAGATTCGAGTCTCTCACAGAGAGACTGAACGAATAAAAGTGAAAAATTGGGAGACTCGAGTCTCTCGTAGAAAGACTGGGGTCTCTGAAACATGTTGAACTTGAAAATTTTAACCAAGCCTATCGAGACACCACTTATTGAGAGATTCGAATCTCTCGTTCAGAGATTCGAGTCTCTCGTTCAGAGACTGGATACAAAATGAGGATCTCTCTATGAGCGCCTCGAGTCTCTCGTTCAGAGACGCTAAACGGTTTCTTTGACAGTCTCTCGACAGTCTCTCTCAGCGACACCAGAGAGACTCGATGAGAGACGGGGACTCGAGTCTCGCTTTCAGAGACTCTGAGAGACTGAACATTTTTATCTCGGGTAATTATCACCTTTGTCATTGACAGCGGCAGACTTGGTCTGTGCTTAAGTAAAATATCATAAAATTTGTCAATGTTTCTAAATTTGATAACTTCATGAGATGACATTATTAACATAAATTGAAAAATACGAAAATCAGTTGAGGTGTATGCAATTGTTTATCTATGTGTATGCATGACATCACGGCGCCCGCTCTCTTCGCCGATTGTTCAAGGTGACCATGTAAGTTAGAATAATTACATAAATGCATTAAGAATTACATTCAGACATACATAAGACGCGTATAAAACATACCAAGATTGTTATACATATGTATGCTCATAAGTACATGATTGAATGAGATATATTCCATTGAATATTTTTTCTTGTACATTTATACATTTAATTTTTATTTTATTTATCTGAGATCTTGCATATTTAGAAAGCTGCAAGTACGTTGTATTAAAAAGGAACATCTAACAATTAATTTTGCCGTAAATGAAGATTATCATTGCCCAATGACAACAATAATTATGTGAAGCCTGGCTACCTACCGTTTTTCGATGAATTTAAAAGAGTTGTTTATCGTTTCGTTTTTGTGGAGGTGTGTATCAAATAGATGCCGAATGAATTGAAAGAACAACTGTTTTATGCAAATGCTATCATTTGTATTATGAACGCGCTCAAAGAACTCTTAGTGGTTCATGTAATATTTTATTGTATAATTAGGCTGCAAAGAAGTACATAAAAAAGTCTATTTTTTTAGCAGTTCTGCAGTTTTCCACAACCTTTACACCCGCATCCCCTGATGAGCTAGACGTTGTTTTGAGCTTTGATAAGATGCCAATCTGCTTAATACGTAATAACAGTTTGACCTTTAAAGCTGCAAAATGCCTATGGTCAATATTAATGCACCGCCACTGAACAGTTGCTTTACATCCGTATATTTAATCTTCCTGACGTCCTATTAATAGATTATAATCTGCAGAACTGTGTATGTTAGCAGTTTAATCATCAATGGATTGATCAAACGAAAAAAATATTTATTTTGTTTAAAATAGATGCATCAATTACTTAACAGTATATTAAAAAGTGTTTTTGAGGAATTGCGTACCTTTGCTTTCTGGGTCGGTCGAGCCGTCGTCTTCTCTTCCGGCTGTGGTCGTCGGTGTAGCGTCCCGACGTCACGTTGACCCCTATATGCGTCGCGACCGCCACTGCCGGCGGAATTCTAGCGCCTGGCGCCACTATCTTCTGTCTCTTTCATTCTATTAACACCTCTCGCTTTTATGGTCCTTTTTATAGAACTTTGTGTTTTACATTTAGTTATTATTATTATCATGTGTACAATACATATGTATTTATGCATAATATAGTAATATTTATGATGCATGAGTGTATTAAGAAAATTATTTATTGTTTTTATACTGAGCCACTTCAAAGGCATTTTAAAAATGTACGTTTTAAATTATTTTCTATTTTGGTTTTTTTTTTTTTTTCGATTTTTTTCTGTCGGTTATTATATCGG